CCAAGTCATCAAGCCTGGGCAGGGGACCCCCAGCTCCCCGCAATCTCCCGCTCTGCCCCTGCCCAGGCCTAACGCCTCTGGCCGAGGCGTCCTGCCCGGGCAGCAGGGACCCGCAGCGGCAGCGGCCCCGCGATCGTGGGCTCTGCTTTAGGCCCAGGCAAGGGACCCCCTAGCTCCCGGGACTGCCAGCTTTGACCCTGTCCAGCTCCCATCTCTGGATCCACCCGTACTCCCTGCTATCACTGGCCAGGGCGGCAAAGGCACCTGATTCTCCAATCATGGCTGGGGGGCAGGGCAAAGGCGGGCCTGGGTTTCCAATCACTGTCAGTGACAGGGGGCTTCTTCCTGCTTTCCCTTTCGCCTCCCTGCATTGTGTCTACATATGCAAATTAACCCCCATCTTTGTTGGTGGTTAACTGCCATCTGAGTTGGCAGTTAATTTGCATATCCCCCTAATTAGCCAATGAAAAGGGTAGCGTCGTATGCCAATTACCATTTTTCTCTTTTATTAGTGTAGATTATTGACTGTACTCCCTATGCTGTACTTTATAACCTGCGACTGTTTTGAAACTGCCAATTTGTAGTCTTCAATTCTTTCACCTTTTCCTCCTTTTCTTAAACACTCCTGTCACCTCGCCTGATGTTCTTCAGGGCTATCCACCTGCCCTCCCTTTTTATAAAAACACTTTTATTGATTTCAGAGAGGAAGGGAGAGGGAGAGAGATAGCAACATTAATGATGAGAGAGAATCATTGGTCGGCTGCCTCCTGTACGCCCCCCCACTGGGACCATGCCTGCAACTTGGGTATGTGCCCTGACCTGGAAACTAACCATGACCTTCTGGTTCATAGGTTGATGCTCAACCACTGAGCTACACCCGACGCGCTTTTTTTTAATCTGAAGTATAACCAATACTTCAAATGCCATTGATGTGATGAGGAGAATTGCAACAGAGGCACACTTGTGAGGACAAAGTTGGTGGGGGGTGGGAGGGGGAAGAAGTCGGGGAAAACTACACAGTGGAGGTGACACCGGTCCCCTGGGGAGGGAAGATGGGAAAGGGTCAGCGCTTGAGAGCAAGAAGGGATGCAGGAGCTGCTGACACTACTTTCTCACCTTAAGGATCAGTTGCTGGTTTAGGGAGGATTGAGATGTTTTTGGAGAAAGAAGATTGATATAAGCCTATTAAACTGTATTGGATAAACCTCAGTATTATGGTCTGAATTTTACCATAATAGGTTTGACAGTAAAATGATGAAATTTATTTGCGTGAGGATCCTTGGCACAATGGAGTGTTTACTGTTCCCGTTCCACTGGGCATGACAAACCCGGCCTGAACCTCTGCCTCTGCACAGTGTTAGCAATCTCAGACTTGAAAGGAAGAAGGACATGCTTGTGCTTGAACACGCGCTCCCTGAATACATTTCCGGGGGGACGTGGATGCCTGTCTTTGACTCTCCGTCCTTCTATTGATCATATATTCTTGGCAAACAAATCTTTGTTAAATTTGATAAGACCTGAAACAGGACTGAAGTTCAGTGTATGCGATTTTATCTTTATCTTCCTCAAACCTCGCAATGTCAACAGTACTTTATAAAAACCATGTTTGTCTTTTCTTATTTTTGTTTGGCCCATATTAATGCAACTAAAAATATGCAAACTCAGCAGGCTGATTCACTTAGCTGTGCGTTTTGGCCCAGTTAACTATCTTCAGAATACTTTTTGGACAATTTCAGTGCATTTATTTTTTTTCCTTAATGTGGTTATAGAGTGATCTACAGTATTTCCTCAGCCATCATAATCTGTTTTTGTTTTACTGCTTTAGAATTCTCTGTGGTAAACACCCAGTGACTTTGACTTCCTAAGTTTCTTTGTTTTGAAAAATTATTTTTAAGAGAACATTTCTAGCATAAAGCAAGGATGCTCCTTGTAAGTATACTTTCCTGAGTTCAGTTGATCTGGGATGTGTTGATTTGCTCTTCCATTTAGCTTCATTGCACAATTACATCACTGATCCTGACTTACGGTGTTTGTTTTTACCTTCTACTCCCTATAGCATCAGTCTATAACAGTTATGATATGTCACCTGCTTCTAGCTATTTGCTTATTCAGTGATATATACAATAAGTATAATGTACAGGACATATCCTATATAATAAAAGCCTAATATGCTATGTGTCCAGTCGTTTATTCAAACAATCAAAGCGTAATACGCTAA